TCTTTAGGCATTGATCAATAAGCCAATTCCCGCCCTGTTTTCGTCTATTGGGACAAGCACTGTGGTCCAGTTCAATGTCCAGGCTGAACTCTAACCAACGGAGCTCGAAACCGTACCGAATGCTTTGGAGAAGATGGAGAAATGTCCTGCTTATTGCAGTGATGAGATTGCACAAATTATTTTCAATTCACGCAGATATGAGGGCAAACATCCCAGATTGAGCCTCGCGCAGAAGAACGCGTAAAAAGCGACGGGCTCAGACGCCGCCTGACCGCGCGCGGCCCGCGGTAACCGTGGGTAACCGGCGGGGCCCGCCTGGAGCCGCCAGGCCTTCATGTGAGCCGCGCAGACGTGGGTTCTGGGCGGCGAGTGGGCGGCTGGGAGCGGAGAGAGGCGGCCCTGGTTTACAGGTCAAGCCTGCAGCTTTACAAGGGAAATCTCCAGAGCCACTATAAATACCACTGTGAGCTTTAAGGGTGCAGTATATCACACCACTGGTTTTGAAGGACCACAAACCAACCTCCTTTTTGTAGTTTTGCTTTTTTTCTTTGCGCCCCTCTTCCTGCCCTCCCAAAACGTACAGTGAGCCTGAATACAATTAAATGTGAACTCCCCCCCTCTCCGTTTCTAAAGACTGTTAATTGATTGGACCGACTTCAAAACACCCTCCGCCAGCCCCCCTGCAACAAAGAGCCGGCCGTTCCCCTCATGCACCAAAGCCATATATCATTATTGTAGCTTGCAGTTTTGGGGGGGGGCTTCAGGGTTTTTCTCTTTGCTGCACGTCTGAGCAAAGGGCACAAATACGCCATTTGGAGCAGACTGTGAGGGTTTTCAATGAGCCCCACCTGCAGCTCCACCTGATGTACGGCCACTCGAAATGAGGCCTAATGATTTGCTGAAGGAAACGCTGTCAAAGTGACACAGCCGTGCAGCACGTGCGGCGTAAATCAAGCTTTTCGCTCTCCGGGCCGGCTGGCGGCGAACCGCCTTTTTAGGCAAGGCTTCAGAAAAATGATAATCAATTCTGGCTTATTTCGTTTTACGGTGGGAAAAACGGCAGAGCAGAAAAAGCCCCGAGCTGTCACCTGAAGACCAGAGCGACACAGATGTAGAGTCGGAGGGACGTTAGAAAAAAATTGCGAATCTCACGTGCAAATCTCATCAGCGCGCGCTGGTTAGCAATGGACGGGGCTAATTGGTTCCAGGAGTGTTGCTCTTATTCACACGGGCCGAGATGGCGAGCGGCGAGGGCGGGCAGGGGGAGAGAGAAAGAAATGAAATAAAAGAGGCCGCTGGAGCGAGGGGAGGGCGAGTAATGAGAGGTCAGTCTCCATCTACAGTGGAGCTGCCGGAGCCAGAAAGGCACGCCAATTTTATGGTCAATTGCTCGACGCATCTGGACCCATAGATCACAGGCCTGCGGGGCAGGACTTAGCACCCAGCTCAAACACATTTCGCTTACACAAAACAGACCACACAACACACACAATCACATGCAAACAGGCTGCGCACACCAGGGTAACAGAACACTGCCAAGAAGTCTTCCACCCCCAAAGAAGACAATTATATCCTATTATTGTAGAGGGGAGAAGAAAAAGCTGTGCGCTTTTCACTCTTTCTTCCACCGACTGAGGGAAACTGAAGTGGGCCTCATATCCCACCAAACGACAGGAGTAAGCTTAAGCTACTAATTATGTGTTTATTACATCAAATCTCATTTCGGCATAGAGATGTAGACAGCTAAACACAGTGTCAGCTACTGTGATGCCTTCACTACGAGTTCCACACCATGGAAAGCTCGACTTCATTCTGATCACAAAAGGAAGGATTTCTCCAACAAATTCAAATGAAGTCAAGTAACTAAAGTGACCAAAAAACATCAACATCTTACTATTCGCTGTTAGACTTCTGCTTTTAGCCAAAAGAGCTGGACTCCACTGTTTACCTCTCCTGGGTCGGAATCAGGCTTTTTAATAGACTGCGTTGGACTTTTTTTCAGCACAGGCCACACGTACTGAGATGTGGCACTTTGTCTCAAACTGGCATGTGTGTTAAAATGAGCTAAATCATTGGGGTTAAACTGCAGCAAAATTAATAAATATTATTTATAAAATCTGAATAAATGATCTTATTACATATAATAGACATTTATGGCACTTTGAGTGGTCAGACCGCATCTTCAAAGTACCTTAAGGAGCTGCAAGCGCTATATAGATTAAATCCATTAATACAATAATATTCATAGTACTCATAGTATGAATTTGACCACAAGGGATTTGACTAACAAGTAGCTGCTCATAACAGCACCCCATGCTGTGAAGTAACTAACAAATGCCAACTGAGATCTCTTGGTTAGCTTTTATAAAAATAAAGAAAAACACACCAAATTTTCTGTGTTTTCAATGTTTCTGACTGTCAAACAGATGTTTTCATATACAGTTACTTTGTATATCTTACTTTGTGTTTGTGTGTAACAATACCCGTAACACAAAAAAACTAAACCTAACTTTAGATAATTATTTTAATGAACTCGTTTACTGAATATATACCCCCCAGCCAATATGTAGTGGTTGGGATGACTTTGTTCAATATGATTGTGCAGTTTCATTATTTAAAACAGATGTTTATAACTCCTTGCAGAGTTTGGGGGAAGGCAACAATCAAAGTCCAAAACACAATCTCAGTGAAATGAAGAAGAGAAGCTGTACAGATGAAAACAAAAAACCCCTAAAGGGATTATCTTTCACAACAGCACACAGAAACATTCAACAATGAAATATATTTTACTATCATATGGAAAACCTGAGCTCACTTTGCATTTGACAGCAGCCAGCATATCTCTAAAAGCTGGGAAGGTGCTAAGCAGCTGGATGAACACATTGCTTCTAATTAGCTGAACAGGCAGCAGGTCAGTAACATGGCTGGGTGTAAAAAGATGGTTATTACTGTTAATTAAAGCTGGGCAAAGGTTCAGCAAACAGCGAGAAACCGTATCTGCAACCTGAGATGAAATGTGAGAACTGTGTTCTGCAACATCATGGTTCACAGACTTTGAATATTGAATGTCTATAAATTTAGCTATTCTGTGCACAAGGAACATAAAAAGTCTGTATTGGACAAAGAGTGGAGGGGACCATCCGGTTTCTGTCAGCACTCAGTTCATAAGTCTGCGTCTTGGTGGTTCAGACAGTAAAGAGTCTGGAACTGTCAACGCACAGATCTGGAAAGGCCCCATCAGGACTGAGCAACATGTTTCCATCCGGCAGTCGTCGCTTTCAGCCAAGCTCTTGCGACTTTCAGCAAAACAATGTGAAACCACTTCCTGCGACTGACCAGCTCACAGTCCAGAAGACATTTTCATGGTCTCATCAAAGCAAAGTTCAACAGAGATCGGGGACGTATTCCTTTAAGACGTGTTAATGACATGAAATTCAAGATTTTCTCACATTTTAGACTGAACAGAACAACATCGGATATGCTCTCTACATTCATCATGAATAAAAGATAATCTATGAGGCTGCGTTCGGATTTGAATTCCCATTTCACACAAACTTGTGATTTATTTTAAATCAGTGGAGTTCAGGAAATCCCCTGAAAGAACCCTCCAATGTAATTTCAGTTCTAGTACTAAAGGTCACATAATGTGACTGGGAGCTACAGATCCCCCCCCCCCCATACAAACCGTACGGTAAGGTTCACTTGTTGGATTCTGTTTCAATCAGCCGTTAACCTCAAATGTTTAGTCCAAGGAAACAAGGGAGATTCACAAAACAACAAAAAACGGACATTTGAAAGCCTAAATGTTCATCTATGCTATTTGAGAAAACAGTCTGTGAATGAACATTAAGCGGTGTGTCAAAAAGCTTTTATGGACACAAAACAGAAGCTGAGAGTCGACTTTCCAGCCAAATCCAAAATCCTGTCTGCAAACAATCCTGTTTTTAACCACGAGGTTACTGGAGGTTAGCTCTTTGTGATGCTGTTGCGGTAGCTCAAGTTGTCGGAAAAAAAGGTCATCACATTCAGCTCATAAAGCATCCTTTTGTTTCTAACTGCCAATAACTGCAGCTGAATAAACAAATGAGCTGGCGATAATTAATGGTAACTCCACGGGGCGGTCAAACTAGGAAATAAACTCTCGCCTGTTGTATGTTAAAGTCAGTCTCTGCTGGGCAGTGCCAGTGTTACATCAAAGCAAATCATCCGAACCGTTATAATCACATTATTTACAGACGGGGAATCAGGAGGTGTTGGTTTTGGATTAGATAGAGAGCGCTAAAGGAAAATGTAAAAGTAGAGGTTAATGTATTTCCATTTTAAAGCTACGCATCAGGACCTATAGAGAAACTTAAAACTGTCCGCATGACGAGTGTGCCAGAGGAGTAAAGCAGATACTTGTTTAAGGGACCACGTGTCACCATCCATGCACTCTATTCCATATTCTTGGCAATATTCCTGCTAAGCAGCTGCAGACACTAATTTTGCTTTATTACTTTTCCAAGTTGTCCTGCCAAACACAATAAACAAACCAGATCTTTTTCTTTTCCAGTTGAAAAAAACCCCCATTGTGTCTTCTATAGGTCGTGTAATGTGCACAGAAGCACGGACAAGCAGCTGTTCACTGACACATGCAGTAACCATGGGCTGGTTGTCTGAGCAGCTAATGTTAGCTTAAGCTGTTAAGGTATACAGCTGTCAACACTTAAAGGGAAACTATCATTTTTACACATCAGACTCCATTTACAGATTTCGGGGGAAACAGAAACACATGAAGAAAAGTGGTCTAAAGTCTCTCCTGATAAATAGTTTGAGGACAAAAAGCTAACTGAATCTGTAGTAACTCAGATAATCTACATCTTTGCCTGATGCTAGCTGGTAATTGGAGATGTTTCACTTTTTTCCGTCAAATGTCTGAACTGTATTGAAATGAATGACTAGAAAAGTTTTGACAAATAAAAGTAAATATGGATTTAAAAAAGAAACATCTCAGTAAATTCTCAGTGAAACATTACAACACATCTTACCTCAGTGGGAACAGCGAGAGAAGGAATGGGGGCTGTCACGCACTTGTAGCACTGCAATGTTACCATGACCGCACAGCGAAGGGCCTCCAAGAAAGCCGCTGTTGGCCTGAAAACAAAACGCAAAACACCGATCAACTTGAAGATGGTTCAAGATTTCAAAACCCAAACAACGAAAGAGTGAAAATAGTCCCTGTCAGACCAACTCCTCCAGATAGATTTGGAATAATACTGAACGCATCAGGTTTCAGGCCAGACTTTATGGAAAAGATGGGCATATTATCCAGTACATTCCTCCCAGTCAACAAGAAGAGTGGTGGGATGGAGGTGTGAATAAAACAGGTGATTATACCGTGGGCAAGAACACTGATTGGAAAGAACTGCTTTTTCACGACAGGATCCAGTTCTTAATCTCTGGCCTCACCATCAATGTGTAGCAATAACAAAGCACTGATGTGAACTCACAAGCATCCCCACAGCAAACACGGCCCTGAGGACACCTTTCCAGGGAAAGAATACACCAACAATCTCCCACTGGCTGGAGGGTGTTTGAAAAAACTCACGTCTCAGAGTGCTTTTTGCAGACATTCTCCAGAGTTAATGAGTTCAAGTTTTTTTTCTTTGAAAACTGTTGAACTTGTGATTTTTTTAAACCCGTTTACCCCAAAATACATGACAAAGCAGGATGTGTGTGAAAGCAGGAGCAGTTTTTCCGGGTTCATATTTCAGTTAAGTATGACGAATCTGTTGAGGAATCTGTTTAGAATCAAATGCATCTAAAAATGAATCATGACAGTCGTCACCGATATTCCTGTAACTTTCCACTGTTCGGTTCAGCTGTTGTCGCCCACTGACAAATGAAAACTGCATGCTTTTGACTCTGTCATCAGAACACAGAGGTGTCCACAGCTGTGTGTTTTTTCTTCCTAATGCATAAAGGGCTGGAGGTGGTTCCAGCTTCTCAAATTAAGAAGGAAACCCATTTCCTCTCATAAATACATGTAAAAGAATAAATAGTCTTCAGACTTGTCAAATGAGGAAACTGGCTAAATGCAAAACTAAACAAAACACTTAACTTTTGGGATTTACTTTTTGGAATGACTTTGTGCGGCTCAACACAGAAAAGCAGGTCTTATTAAAAAATAAACAAACAAAAAAAGCGTACCTTTGGTCAATGAGGAAGCCCAGCGAGGTGAGAGTGAGCAGAACGTAGCCGATCATCCCCAGAATGGTGAACTGAGACAGCACCTAAAACAGAGGCACATCTGCATACCCTGAGAAAAGTGCTAAGGGAAAAAACACATTCAAATCAGAACCTTAAATCAATAACCGTGGCCGGTCAGGTTATGGCCACGGGGGGCCTTACGGGGAGAGTAGTCATAAACCACACGGCTGTTCGGCCGTTTGCTTGGCAGTGCCAACCAAAACATGTCTAACCTTCAGCATAAGTGCACTGGCACTCGAACCAGTGCAGCAGATGGACTCTACCTCTTCCTTTACACTGACATGCCCAGTTTACACAGACGTTCTAATCACCCCAGATGGATCTTGACAGAAAACTCGACCACAGATGAGAAGATTGAAGCCTGAAATGCGTCGAAGGAGCCAAAACAATCAACATGGAGGCAGGAATCCCATGCAGATTCTCTCTGACCTTTTCCAAGATACTCAGAACACACACCCACACACACACACACACAAACAGACTGGCTCGAACTCACAGGGAACAAAACTAATTTGTGTTCCCTGACATGAGGCCTTGGCTGAGGGCAGCAGCTGGAAGCCGAGTGTCTCCTGAGGATGCTGTGGGCTGTCAGCTTGGGTTTATATTTCTCTGACACTCAATACAGAGCCTAACAGCCAAATCTCACTGCTCCCATACCCAGGAGGACGTGCTGTATATAGTCAACATGAAATCAACCCATCAGCAGGCCGCAATAAAACACTATTTCTTCATGCATTTTTTTTCCAGGAGCGACGGCCTATAAGAACGATATCATCGGAGTTCTCAAATGGGAACGCGAGAGTTGATACGATTAAGGCTTTAAAGAATCCGCTGCTGGGATTTTCGAGCTTATATCTTCCTGAACGAGCAAAAAGTCACTCCAGACTGTCAGAATTTATTAAAGAAGAATAATCACTCTCTGGAGTTCAGGGGCTATGGATACTATTATTTTTGGTAGGAGGTGTAATGACTTAAGAAGTATTTTGGTATCAAAGGTTATGTGAACTTATCTGTGTTTAATAACCCAGGGGGGCTCTGCGCACCAGACATTTTTTGGTCACATTTTCTGTTTTTCAAATCTTTTTTCCAACTGCCAAGATCCTTTAGAGATTTCTCAGTGTCGTTGGGAGGGTTCGCTTTTCGTTTTTAAGCCTCTGTCATCGAGGGTGGTTTTTAATGGCGTCCCGCCTCTGCCTGCTGTATCATCGGAGGTGGCCACCGGTGAGAGCCAACATCTGGTGGCAGCACTGTGCCACAAACGGAAGACGGATAGTGTTGTTCTGTCGTCCCCTGAGACGAGGCGCATGAGCTCATTACTCGGGCCATTAATTCGGCCCCTTCTATGTGGGCTCGTCCCACTGTTGCCGTAATGACAGCAGAAATGAACCTCATTAAAGGGTTTTCGCTTGGTTGCAGTGAAAATATTCTTTATGTTGCTAAAAATAACCTCACGGTGGCACCCCCACCCCCCTTGACCCTACCAGGGAAAGACAAACGACACAACACGGCCCTCTAATTATGATTTCAGATTTATGAAAGACACAAAGTAATGCAGGAGGAGCTTTTTGTATAATTTGCCTGATACTAAGGCAATTCATTGCCACAGATGTTTACTTTATTTCGTCATAAATTTGAAAAAAGTAGTGAAATTACTCTGATTGTGTCCTTGAGTAGTGATTCCAAGTTGTTTACCAGGCGGCGTTAAAGACAAACATGTGGACCCAGCTTCAAATGATGCAGCTGACGAGTGACAGTAAATGAATGCTTTCAAAAACAGTCATTTTGTGCTTCACTGCCATCTTAGATATAATTTACTCTATCATGTCAAATGTTTGGGAGTTAACCATCAAACACAGAAACACTTGTAGAGGCTTCCTCTGAGATAAAAAAGTAATGCTCAATTTCCCTTTTTTCCTCTGGTGGGATCTGATTAGCATATCTATAATAAAACATCTATGCTGGCCTAATGATAATGTAGCTTCACTTGTTTGAAATAGCTGTGTTTTCATGGCCTCGAATTAACGCAAAGCCCATAAATTGTCCTGCAGTGTATCTTCGATTGTCAAGCTAAATAAGCAGCTTGCAGACATGTGGGTATAAATACAAAACAGTGACATGATTTATTGTTAGGCCAAAGTGCTCACTTTGTTATTTTCCCTCCAAGTCCTGATTGCTGCATCCTGAAGGCTATTTGGGTTGGGAAATGGTTGACTCGACAATTAAGGCGTTTGTGTTCACTGCTGGACCACCAGCTGGCGTTTCATTCGCCAAAAGGGAGGGGAACCCTGCGCTCTGCAGAGGTGGGGTGTGTGCGTGTGAGTGTGTGTGTGTGTGCGTGGGACCACAACTGAAAAGCCACATGGAGGTAGTGATCAGAAAAGAAAAAGACAGGACATTTTATTTGGGAGTTTGAGGAGGATGGGCGTGACAGCACTTTCTGGCTAACCAAAACTATGCCTATAGGGAATAAAGCTTTCCAAAGATAACTGCTGAGGAGACCTGTTTCTTTTTTTTTCCTTCAGAAGGAGGAAGGGGGTCTCTTGGCTTGTCGAGTGGAAAATAATAGACAAACGTTGATTTAAAGGGGAATGCCGATCCGTCATCCTGTCATGATGTTAGACTGAGCTGCTCTTTACTGCTGGATAAGTACAGGACTCTACTCCACCATCAAGCAGCCACAACAAACTAGATAATTGTGAGCAATAATGTTAGCAAACAAACACGCGCAGCTCAGGCAATCTCATGTTAAGAGGTCTGGACCACCTTGTCATCCTTTCGTGAGATAAGCAGGAGCTCAAACAGATCACCACTCAGACTAAAGTCTCTCGAGGTCCAAGCTTCTGAAACTCAGATTGAGAATGAACATATTTTATTTTTTTAAAAGTAAGAAATACGTACCATTTTGTTTTCAAACAACTCGTGGTAAGTCCACAGCACCAGCAGGAAATGTATCACCACATAACTTTGTAAAGGCAGCGAGCAGCTGGGATCGTAAGGCACTTCCTTTCCAGTAACCTGCACATGGAAAATAAACATGCTTAATTCCCCAAACCCCATATTTTTGTTAGTTGGGTAATTTTTTGGACAGATACTCACACTGGCCAGCAGGCCTCCACTCACAACACACTGGTGGAATGAAGTGTAACTACATGAAAATAAATACGTCCCCGAATCTTTTACAATCATTATTCAAGCTTTTAACCGAGCACTTTATCATCTGTTAACAAGTTAGCTATGTCTTTGTATATAACCACAAATTAGAGCCAGTGAGGTACCCCCCCCACCTAACAGTTTTATTGTCACAAACAGATGGGTGAAGCGGTCATAATGGGACGGACATGGTGATGACCAATGCAGGTTTGACTAAAGCTCAGCGGGCTCCAGCCGCTCGGGTCAAAAGAAATTTGGAGTTTCATGCAAACATTTACATATCGCTGCAGGAATCAAGACTCATTAGGCAACCTTCCACTCTTCCACTGTTCACTGACTGTGACCTCATGCTCATTATATCCTCAGTTACCTCTGCTAGCTGAAAGACCTGGCATCTAGTGCGGCCCTCTGCGACACATTAGCTTCACTATTGGATGTCTCGGGTGCTCAGATTCTCATCATCTGGGGTTTAAACCATGAAGTCTGTGGCCGTTTGGATGGGAATATCACCATTATGCATTGATCTCCAAAAGAAAACGGCGACAATCCCTTACTACAAGCAATAAAAATTGAGAGCTCGGTTCAAATTTAGGAATTGGGATCTGGCTAGTTTTCCTTAAATGAGCCTTTTTTCACATTCTCATACTTGATCTGAACTTCTGCCAATCTCTGCTTTGCTTAGATTATTTATCTATTTATCTTTGCCATGTGGTTAAATCATTCAGTCTTGAGTAAAGACATGCTCTTTTCATTAATACAGCTCGTGAATTTTAGTTCACAATGACAGATGAAACTACCGCCATGCAAAGCCGGTTTAGAGGACGACAACAAGAGATGCTTCCGTTTACTGAGCAGCCAAAAGGCATTTATTATAAAAGGGCCGGCAACAAAGCAATCTCGCTTAAATGACAGCCACTGTTTTTTCACATGTACATTTCGTGTATGTTTCATTTCCTGGTAATCGCTTGTGTCATTTAACGCATGACTGACAAGTCCTCTGCCAGAAACAATAAGACCTATTACAGAGAGGAAATTACAGAACGCATATGCATCCAGTGACTATTGGAGGAAATAGGCGGCATAAAAGTTACTGAGGAAAAATTTTGAAAAAGTATAAATTCAAAATGGCAATTAGAGAAAAAGTTGAACTGAAGCAGCAGAGACTAAATATGAGCAAACAAAAAATGTTAATCTGTGCTGGGGAATACTCAGTTTTGTCTTATGACGGCAAAAAGTGATAAAGCCTGAGTGCATTGCGATTAAATTATTGTGAAAGAAATCTTCAAACACTGATCTGGCTCACATTCAGGGGGTTTCCAAGGACCCTGAGAAACCAAAGCACCACATCTGGGTCCCCCCCACATCCCCGATCCTGTAGGTTTTTTAGCCTGCAGCTCTGCTTATTCTCAAAGTGCTGAAGTGCCCTCGACCCTCCGCGCCCCCCCACTCCCTTTGCTGCATATCGACATGTAGCCGCCTACATAAAACCTAGTCATTTCAATTAAATTCCATCTTATTTCCTTGAGCAAGATCACCCTGTCGGCTTTAAAGCCTAAACACAAATGGAAGCAAAGTTATTTGTTTCTTTTTAGTTAACCACCAGGGAATTCAGCTCCAGCCTATTTCTGTCTAAACGCACACATAATCACACTTTACTGCATTTCTTTTCTTCGGCAAACTGTGTTTAAAGACAGCGAACACAAAGACTTTGGTGCTTTCATGTGGCATTTTCTAGTAAAACTTGAGAAATGTGTGAATCCTTCAAGGGGGAATGCTCTGAGTCATTTAGGCCCGTGTTTGTTGCACATCAGAAGTGTTTGTAATGAAGCCTGAAGGCATTTCTCCTGTTCGGGACTGATGCAAACCTTGGGATTGTTGAGGTGGTCGCCCAGCCGTGGTTTACCGGGCTTCCAGCTCGGGCCTTTGAGGAAAGCTGATAATTTGTTGGTGATAGTTTTGTAAATGTTGGACTTCCTCCACAGATATTTATAGTAATGAAACTAAAGGAGAAAGAAACACGAGTCAGACATGAACATAGAATCAAACAGCACATGTAACTGATGGACGTTAACTAAGCAATAGCTGGCGTAATTAATCCTGGGCAGTTGCGTTTCGGCCTCCATCGGGCAAGGCATTGCTCACGCTGTGCTCTGCCAATGGTGAAGGCAGCAAAAATAATTATAACATCCACCTGGTATTTCATTTTATTGCCCTCCTTCACCTCAGCTGGCCAGTTTGTTTGGACTGGAGTAATAATGTTATGGTTACAAAACGGCTCCTTCAGCCAGCAAAGGAAACATGAGCTCACACCTCAACTACAAAAAGTGCTCATACATAGATGAAGGTGAGCTTATGGTAGCCACAACAGGGATAGAGTACTAACCTGAACGTGAAGGATTTCAAATGACTTGATAGGAAACACCAGACCATATATCACTTTGTCCGTCTCCAGAGCAAAGGTGCCTGAGAACGACATAAAACCAGCTACTAGGTCAAAAAATGCTACAACAAACACTCAATCATGATATACGTGTAGTAAAAATAATGACGATCTGTTTCTCGTATCAGATCAATGAATTAGCCCTGAAACACTTAGAGCGCTGATTCAGCAGCTTGTAAAACCAGCTGCGGTCACTTTCTGTGATGTTTTCAGTGCCTCGCATCTCTGTTGAATCCTTTTAATCCAGCTGCATCTGCAGTGTGGCCTCTGTTGATTTAGGCCTGCAGCTTTCAGCTCTGAAGGTCCCACCACAGCTTCGCTCTGGACTCAACGGTTCCAGCACCTGAATTCTGTGGCAGAGCCCATCCTTTACAGATTAGACTGATTATAACATCATAGATTAGTGGAGGTTAACGTCTCTGTGCGTGGTGATGGAACCCCAGTGAGACAACAGACAAAAAGAACTTAGTAAAATGGATGTTTGTCATAAAAAACACAATAAAAAGCCGGGCTGGGTCAGAAAACCAAAGAAAAGCCACAGAGAAAAACCCGGAATTCAGACGGGCGACGAGGGCAACAAGGAGCAGGTGGACCAACGGGAGGAAACTGAAGATAAAAAGGAAAGAAAAAGCAACATACGGACAAATGAGCAATGGACGACAGCCTGTCGAAGAATGACAGATTAGTGAGTGGAGACGGCTGGGAGCACAGGTGGGGATAGTTGAGCTAATGAGCAGAGAGGAAAAGCACTGAGGAAACTAAGAGACAGGAGTGGACAGGAAACAGAAAAAAATGGGTCATGGCAGACCAGGAAACAGGACACAGACAGAGAAAGGTGTGATATTCTAAGAGAAAAACGTGTTATGACATAATTTTTTCATTGTTGGACGAACCATCTGTCAAAACAAAACCTGGATTGGGATTATCAATCCGATTAGCAACAAGGAATGAAAGGTGAGATTTTTTGGGGAACATGTTTAGATCCCTGAGTTAAAGCCTTTCAACTTCTCTGCACGATCTTTCTCGCTGTAGAAAACAGTTTTGAAGTTGGGCCTTGTAACCATCCCCGGACTGACGGGAAGCTGCCGTTAATTCTCTAACATCGCTGCAGATGGCTTTCCTCCCCGGCACGTTTTACCACCGGCCTCTTTAATCCTGTGGAAGCAGACTGTTTCTCCATTTTGGATTTGCTCTGGCTAAACAGATAATGACACAGTATAACGTGTTATGTGGTTTTCACCTTCTTTTCAGACCAGATGATTGTCTATTATGTTCAAACTACAAATGTAAGATGATAGAACAGTAGCATACCCAGTATGTCACTAAATCTAATCCGTCAAACAGCTAAACTGTACGGCTGTGAAAAAAAAAAGAAAAAAAGCAGTGGCATGAAGTATTTCTGGGTCTCTGCTGGCTGGGCTGCACTGAATGGGATTGGTAGAGATATTTTTGGAGCCAGATGATCTCACTTATTGAAGATGTACTTTTAGCCAGACTCTGAAATACTCCAAAGACAACACTGTCAGGAGTAAAATGTAAAAACCTGCAATTCATCAAGGAAAAGTGAGGAAAACCATCTCCACAGGTTCAGCGTTCACCCTCTTAACCCCCCACTCTCCTGTGGAGAGACAAAAACTGGGTGAAGGGATTTCTGAGTAATGTTGACCTCAAAATTAAATCTCACTGAGGCTTTTTTTTTTGTGCAAATCTACAAAGGCTGCAGGCAAAGCTGGCGTCCACTGAGTCACAGTTTCCCTTGCGCTGCTTTCATCACTTTAATAACGGCTGATAGGACAACTTTTAGTTTCCATCCAGTAACAAGTGACAGACTGAGCAAGCTGTCGACAAGCTGCTGACATCCTGTGCAGCTAATATCTTTCACACGTTCATGCTAAAGACTTTGAACCGATAGGTAAATGTAAAGTCATGCGTCTGTAATAACGACAATATGACATCTCAGAATGTGCAGAGCTGTTCCACATAAAGGAAGAGAGCAGACGCGAAAAGCAGGGGATAAAAAGTGTCGTTTCACTTTAGTATTGATGAATTATAGGTTATTAAAGTGTTGTAAAGGAGCATCATTGTCAGTTTGAACAGTTTTAAATCCTTTCAGCTTACCAAACAGTCTGTCCCAAATGATCAGGATGCCCCCGTAGTTCTTATCGATGCAGTACACGTTCCTCCCTGTTGAAGTGACACTTTGTGAGGACAGACACTGAGGCAGTGTGGGGACATCTGGGTCCACACCGTAATGAACGGGGAGCTGGGCTAGTTAGTCTCACCATGATGAACTCTGTGATGTTTGGGGGTGTTGAAAACCCACTCCAGAGGTCCGAGGTCTCTGATCAGCTTAAGGAAGATAAAGACAAAATAGTGGAAATTGAATGTTAAGCACGTACACAAACTGAGATTTTTTTTTGCATCCCTTCCTCCAGTTTGGATGTAGGTGGAGTCTTTAAAAAAAAAAAACTACATTGAACTCTTCCTCCATCAAAACACTTATTTCTTAAAGCTTTCCTCTCTTGTTTCTATGTTACTAGCTAGAGCTGGACCCAGTGACGTAACCTTTGCATTCAACAGCTTTTAGCTAAATGTCGGCTAACAGTTTGTCATCCAGTTGATTTATTTCTTCTGTTATTAATTTATGTGATTAATTCCAGCTTATACTGACAGAACAAAATTTCCCTATTGGGGAATGACAGAGTATTATAGTTTAACACCATTCAATAATGATGGATCACAACTCTGTTCTCTGGAGATATTGTGGAGCAATTTTGTGGCATTTTTTTTCGACTTCTCAAATGACCTTTGGAAACATTTGCGACAGGACTGCAGACAGCTGAGATATATGTGCGGTCAATATTCGTTTTATGCATTCCCTCATGTTAATTATCTTACTTTTCTCCATCGTTAACAAGTTCAAAATTAGTCAACTTCCTCAATCTGTAACATTACTGCTTTAAACACCTATATCCGTAGCTAATCCACTTTAAAAAGCCATGCAGCTCAGAGTCCCACGAGCACGATGAGTTCACGCTAATGATTTTATGTTGGCCGATATCAAACAGATGCTTCAGTCTCTGCCGTTTTCACAAGTCACACAGAGCACATTTCTGCACAGTTCATGTTTCTCTTTTGGTCAGAACTCAGATATTTTGATGTCAGATCTCTCAGACTGGAGAAATGTGCACGGCTGGACAGAATTTCTCAGCGATTCATTATTTCCATGTAATGACTGTGTCTGGCAGCCAAGCGTGAGAGTTTTATCTTGAATGAAAGGGGTCTCCACCACTTCACTCCAGCTCTGAAGCTGCAGCCAATAACATGCCAGTAAATTACATGACATCAAAAAAAGTCCATAAAGGAGACATAAATTACATGCCTTCAGAAAATCGTGACTATTACGACTATTTTCACTAATAGTGCACTAAAAGATGGAAGGCGTTCCAAATCCAGTCATTCCCTCTAACGATGGTGGGGATTGTAAAAGTGATATTCCCAGTCACTTTAAAGGCAGACAAAGTGGTTATGCTTCTGTTTGGAATCTTTCATAAAATCTCATTATTTTTTATTGAATACAGGTTCCACTGCAACAGTCAAAAGGCATGACTTAACAGACGGATTAGTTTTGGCATAGAGAGACGAATCTTTACAGACTTTCTTTTCGTGCATATCAACTCTGCACAGTCGACAGACGAAGAACTTCAAACAACGCAGGTCCTGGATGACTTCTGTTTATAACCACTTATTCTATTATGTAAAGATATTAATACCCTAGTGTTTAAAACATGGGATAAAATGTTGGGTTAAGTTATTTTTATCACAAACCTAATGAAGAACCAAAAGTTACAGATTATTATGCATCTAAACATCATAAAATATGACTAAAAAAGTACTACCTCCATCACGCAATTAAAACTGAATGAAAAAAGTCAATAGGATGCTGAGCAGGAAGTGCATTGGTTAAATGTTCTTTAAATTCATCATTACTAATATTTTCTCTACAGGTACTTCCAGAGAACACCTTAACACCATACCTCAAATTTGATAGTAGAGTGCTATTTAAATTCATCTTGTCAGTACACGGTGTTGTTATAACTGGATTATTTTAGGTGAGCAGCCATATTAAATAACTAGCAAAAGCCAAACCCAATTAAAAAAAAAAACTAAACACTGAATTTGACTTCATGGAGAGATAAAGACTGATATTGTTTTAGTATTAAAAACCCCAGGCACATGAATAAAATATCCTGATTTTAATAAACTAGAGGTCTAAAAATGAAAGATAGTAGCGTGGTTCTGCAGAGGGTCTCCAAATGGGGGCATTTCACTGAATGGATATCATTTGATTAGTTATCAAATAAATAGTCATACTTTTGATGTTGTTAAACTTAAAGCAGTGCAATGTGGGTATATTGGCTTTCTTGGTAAATTAGTGAAATGACATAGTATTCCAATCAGGCATCCAGAGTTGAGCAGTACAAAGTGGAGGAGTGGCATGTGCGTGGTGTCTCTTTTAAGCCTTTATCTGAGACTGGTAAAACTGACCTCGGTGTGAATCCAGAATTGGTAGAGTAGATTCAACTGTAAGTGCACAGCAAAAATGGAGGGAGGTAAAGCCAGAGCCAACGGAAGGTAGAAAACCTGAGGAGGAGAAAAGACAACAAAGCACATTAACTTCTCAGGCTCAAAGATGATGATGAAAAACTGGTGTCTTTTTATCCATTTAATGCAGACTTTTCAGAATTTATGACGCAAGCAAAAACCTGCACACATTTCTAGTAAGGGAACAGCCGGTTATCAAAAATGTTTGTGGATCTTTCCTCTCTTTGTTTCTGACTGGTTTAAACTGTGATTATGAACATTTCCTGAGCAGTCCACAGCTTTGGTTTCCAGTCCCACAGAACGCTTTGTTTCTTGGCCGTTTTAAATTTCTGTGGGCTTTTTCGCCATCTTTGTGGCCTCTTCGACGTGGCAACAAATCAAAGAATGTGCTTCTGCATTTTCAGGCCTTTGCAGGCCTTGTTTTTAGTGACAGTGGGGCTGCATCCCACAGCTGTAGGGGGAGCCAAAGAGAAAAGAATTTGCCAAATTCTCCAGCGTGCATGCCAATTTAGAGTATGGTCATACCGATATGGTGGGAAGCTCTGAAAATAACGACATCAACTGGTCTCCTGCGAGCCTAGAAGTAGCTATTTGAAACATGCTTTTTGGCTTGTTGGGCCCATGGATCACCTTCATATACAGAAGTGGGTCTTAAAAAGAATTGATTGTGTGCTTTCATCTAAAAAAAACAATACAACGGTCACTGAAACGGAACTAACAGAAGCATATATTTATGCTATATTTACAGCAAAAACATTGTATGAGGGATTAGCTCAAAACAAAGTGCAGCCTGAGCGAGCGCCGTAATCAGGAACATGTCATCCACTGCAACAGCATGACTCACTGATGTGTATTTAATAGTTTCTGGACAACAACAAAGTCCTATGCACGGCAGAATAACATAAACGCGGCCTTGGCTACGTAGCTAATACACTTACGCGGGCTTCATGCATTAATCATTCTCTTTAAGTGAGTGGAATTAAGCTGAGTTGCACTTCAGGAGAGTAAATATCTCACCCATGAGGTGAACTGCTGAGTGAGGGACTGTCTCAGGGCGGTGGTGAGGTTGTAGTACTCTGAACTGTGGTGGACCTGATGAGCAGCCCAAAGGATGGACACCTCTGGAGAGAATTGCAAACACACAGCAACACCCGTCATGAATTACGTTCGCAGTTCATTCACAAACTTTTTAAGAGTCGACAGCAGCCATGAAACATAATGCACAGGCATTAAATCCTTTGCAGCCCAACAGGAGATTTAGCCCAACGGTGGACCCTTCTTTTTCCCTCGATGGGTAACGGGACACCTTTGCTCCCCAACGGAATCATTTGAACCTTCCTCCTGACCAGCTGTGATTAAAACGGGAGGCTCTGGAACGGCTGGTCACTGCCGTGCTGGTCCAGGGAGTTGGTTAGCGGCTGGTTAGCATCCAGCCTGATGTCCCAGTGCTCCAGTTTACATTCCTCTGCTGTGTTGTGATACTTGCTACATTAATATCTGCGTTACACTTCATTTTGACATCCAAAGGGAGCACGCTTGTTAAGTTTCACTGGATCCCCGAGCCGTTTCCGGACCACCCCGTCCGTTCTGTGCTTCTTGGCACCTTCCATCCACTTTGGCTCCTGGATACCAGAGAGAACTGTAACTTTATGATGCTGTGGAACCACAACAGCCAATATTCTATAATATATTGGCGATAATTAAAGGAAGCCCAAGACATTACAGAGTTTTTCATTTTATAAGACAACCCGAATGTTCAGAGTAGTCTGGGATTATGGGACAGATTAAAGTTTGAGGTAACTACCATATAAAGTATAGAGGAGTGCTGCTTTGTGAGACAGTGGCGGATAAAATGACAGGATCCTAATCAACATCACAGATGTTGATTGTCTTTCCACTGGCATAGAAACATATTTCTAGCTCCTTGGCGTGACTTACTTTTGATAAGTATGAAGATGCTCAAGTTTTTCCCCTAAATGTAAATTTTCAGTATCTTTTTCAGTGTCTTACTAGTGGAAACCTGCCACAACAGTTTTGGTCACTCCATTTCTTTCTTTGTCTTCCTAGGGCCTGCAATTCCCCTGAAAATAAACTACTGGGAAGCAGTGTAATGCAAATGAAGCAAGATATGATCTCACAACGCAAAATGCTATCCACAAAAGTGGATGGGAAACATCTCAAAAGTGACCTCATCTCGGGTTCGATGGCAGCGATGTGTCTCAAAGAGCTGGGACCGGCAGATGTTCACCCCTGTGCAGCATCCCCTCTTCTTTTAACAACAGGCTGTCACCAGATTCTCATATATATTCCCTTGACTTGAATCCACTGCATGTGGGAATGCGGACAAATCAATGCATTTTTAAAGGAGGTGAGAGATATATCTGAAAAAAAAATCCAACACATTTTAAAGCCAATTTCATTGGATCCCAAACTATTCTGCTTTATACCATGAGAGGCATCATTTTAGAAAAACAGAATGTACTTGCATAGCTATAAGCCTGTTACCTGCAACAATATGTGTAGCTTTGGCTTGGAAGAATGTCAACAGACCTAGCGCCACCCAGTGGTTAAAGCAAATTTCTAATTTGAACTGGAAAGAATAGGTTATGTGAGGAAATCCAGTCAGTCTCTTTTTGAGAAGATTTGGGGTCTTTTCGTTAACTTTATAAGAACATAGACTCGTCAGAGGGTTTATAAAGTTATGGTTTCATGCTACTCTCCGGTAGTAATCATAAAAGAAGCTTTGGACTGGTCCTTGACTTTATTTTAAAATCTCAATAGAAAACAACTTTTTCCTCATAAAACTGCAACATATCAGCATAGAATTACGCAATTGAGACATCCTTTTTTTCTTTGAGTCTCTGGTTTAACTAAGCTTAACACTGAAAACAGGAAAAACGTTAGTCAGCAATACACACCACATGTAAGTGGTATGTGGTAAATGTCCCATCTTATTTCACTGCAGCTGCCAGCTAATTTGTAGTCTTGATGTAACAGAAGTGCTTCAGAATGCCTACACACATGTGGAGCATCACACACTCCGCAACATCTTCCCTCACCGTGGATTGCACCCCTTTTACACAGAGATGGCCACACCTCGGACCGCTCTTTCGCTCGGTTTGGTAAACTCGTGAGTTGCGCGGCGTTGTGGCCGTCAGCGGTAAAACTCAGAGCCGTGGCTCCGCTGCACCTGAACAAACAGAGTCCAGAGGTGCCACGATTCGTCTGCCCACGGCTCCGAGGAGTTGAGCTGAGGAGGAATTCCGGAGGCGCCGGGCCCAGGTGAAAGCTACTGCTCCACACCTTCCTGATTCAACGGGGTTATTGCTGGATTTCCGCAGGTGTGAATGAGTAAAAAAAGTCACAGAGCGCGTTTTTGGAAGAGTAACTAACAGTGTCGAATGATTTATTTTGGATTGAGCCAAAAATAGAAGCGACAGGGTTGGATTTCTTTTCAGACTTTATTAGTCCTCTCAAGGAAACTGGCGGGGTTCTGCAGAGAAGATTCGGAGAGGGGAGGAGGGGGGGAGGAGACTTACTGCATCAACATCAGCCAAGCACAAAAATTATGACATTTCTTCCGCTCCGAACCATCAGGGATTCAGAGATGAATTGTCCCGCTATGGGACGTATTGAGAGGATAATCCAGCCTTTGTTTAATTCCAGCAGCCTGAGGCTTTTTGCTTTTTTCCTCCTCACTGGAGTCAGGCTTGGCAGGCTCCAGGACTAAGGGCGGCTAAGATTGATGCTTGTTGTCATTGATAGGAAGTTGGAACTGCTAGGCTTCACTGCAAGCCCATGTCCTCATCTCTGGACTCGGCAGGATGCTGCATAGTTTGGCAGGGCCTATTCAGGAGGGAAGCCCCGTTAATGGTGAGAACCAATGCCACAGAGCCCGCATTCCCAGCAAGAGCAGAGAAATGCCGAAGACGGTACTTCAATCTGGCCTCCAGTGAGCTCTTACTCAAGACTGCTCAGGAATGACAAGGATGAGTGCACGCTAATCAGGTACAGAGACATTTATGGCGCTTCATACCACACCTACAGAGAATTTCTGTTTACGGTTGCATTTCAGGTCTTAAAAAGATTGTACAATCATTCTTACTAATACACAAAAAAGTGCAAAAACATGGCTGTTGTCGAGAGAAAAATAGTCCCCCTGGGCCCCGGTGAGGAAGAAGTGGATCATAAATCAGGAACTTTTTTCTACTTGTAGTAAAACTTGGTGGAAAGACTTGATAAGTTAATGAGTACAACCTACAGGGGGTACCACAACTGTACAAAGAAAGGGGGCTAATGTGCAGTGCTCAGTTTACAGTTCCTATTGAAGCACATGAGCAGCAACGATACGCAAATCCTGCATCAAGGTAGCACTAAAAAACAGGTCAGGAAAACAGACGAGTGAAAGGCCGCGACCCTCAAAGCCTTTTGCTTTTGAAACTGTCTACACGAGCCAGCTTGACGAGACTTTGGCCCAAGCTGCGTGATGTGAAAAACAGAGGAGTGACATTTGCTTGAAGGGCTTAGTCTGCGTCACCGCAAAATGAAAAGCCGAAGGACCGGAGTACTGTACTCATTAAAAGAGAAGGTTTCCCATCAGTTAGGCCTTATTGTGGAAATCCTGATTGAATCAGCTGAGACATCCAGCATTATCCCATGCATAACATGACTTTTCCTGGCTTTACAAACCCTGCGATCCATTCTTCTCTGCAACAGGTTTAAATGTTTTTAGCTTTTTATTTCAGAATCCCAAAAATTTGCCCTTTGGTTGTATTTATTAATTAAAAATGTGAATAAGAAAATAACCCAGAAACGACTGTTTGGCTTTTTTGTTTTTTTAATGATCAAAATATTGGCATTGTGGTTAATGATTTGTTGGTTGATTGCTGCTCTGATTTCACTCATTCTCTGTCATGCTTTAGCTTCCAGGTGCCCTGCTATAATACGGAAAACATTGCAGTACCTAACCAATGTCCCAACATGCTGCAAAACAGCAGCGGCAGAGGTTTGACGGAGGACTGATTTACAGTTGGAAGACGTCACGTTGAAGTGCCGAATTAGAATATGGCACCGAATCAAGGGCTGGAGGTTGTAATCAGTCATGCGGCATTGCTTGGTTCGACTTTGACACAGAGTGTGTTTACGTCGTGCTCAGTGCCGCTCGGAGCGATGCTTACATAACCGGAGTCGTATAAATGCACAAACCAAAGTCCTGTTGAGCTCCATAAATTCGGCCCCAGTAAAGTCCCGCATTAAGCAGCAATAACTGCCAATCTTTACCTTGAATAATGCTTCCATAAAAAGAAAGTAGAACGAGGAGGGGGAAAAAAAATAAACAAATAGCATAAGAAGAGATCCAAAACGGCCAACCCTTTAAACCGTTCGGACCTTATAAAAGGCTTTTACAGTCACATCAATCAAATGCCCAAATCATCACCCTGAGCCCCCGACACCCACGGCAACGCTCTCCGTGTGCAGGCCCCTGACTGGTGGGCCGGCCCGTCACTCACAGGACTAATGGGCTGTGAACGGGCCCCTCGTGTTTGGATTGGAGGGCTCTTGGATGGGGTGCCAACCCAAACAGCCAACGCGGGACCTGGTGGGGACGGCCGACCCATACTTCATGCTGTCCACACAGCTCAGTCACACACTCTAAACTAAACACACTAACCCTGGTCAGGCCCACTTACAGCTCTGACAAACAGGGCGTAAAGCGGTGCGCGCAGACAGTGACAGTCGCGGTAAATACAGCTGCGTTCCTCTGTTTGTTTAACATCACGGTCGCAACTTTAAGTGATCACAGTTCCGTAAAGTCATTTGTTCTTCACTCTCTCCTCCACCACCGATTTCAACGAAAGAGCGATTATGATTCTGAAGCTGATGTTACAGGATGTTGGATTTTCAACGTTTGGTCATTAATAGAAGCCGATCGGAATCCGAATCTTTGGTCTGCAGATGTGGCGGCGCCCCCAGTTCGGGGCCATGAATGGGGCCTTTAAAAGGGCCTGTCAGAAGGGCTCTTGCATGGAATATAAAGAGCATTTCCAACACCACTTATAGGACTGCTTTTCAGCAGTCATTCACTGTTTTATATGGCTACAGTCTGAGGTTTAAGAACTAACTTCACTTAACTGATTTTATCTTTTAACTGGACACTT